AAGAAAAATGTATATACTTAACGAATAGAGGGTAAAAATTTTGAGAGCAGTTGTTGATTTGGAGCTTTGAATACTAAATCTCTATCAACCATATGTTGGGGCTTGGTGGAGTAGGAGGTAAGGGAACAGGAAAGTTTTCTGGTGTTTTTCTTGTGATAAGGTTTGATAATTGCTAGAGTTATTTGGCAGTCATTCTGTTGTCTCTATTTTAACTTTACTATAACTTGCTCTTTTATATCATGACTTTACTTTTTACTTACATTTTCTCTGATCCTTTTTTCCCCAAACAGGACATATTTTTATTGCCATTACTAGGATGAGTTTTTCAAAATATATTGGCACTGTTAATGACCTTTTTCATTATTTGTATTAAGATTTAACATCACATTAGCATTTACTATCTAGGATTTAGGAGTTGATAATGCAGTTTATCAATCGGTCACAATCTCTTTCTCTATTGTACTTCCACTTAATCTCTCTCCTCATTAGCTTTATAGTGGACAGAGACCAAAAATATGGGTTAAATGTCAGAAAATAAAAAGGAGTACCTGAAATAGATCTTCGAACCATTTATAATATCTCACAGAAACATGGGGACACTCTTCTATCTTAAGAAACAAGTACAGTATTACATACTAGCCATTTTGCATTATATTTACAATTACTTTTTTTATATGTTATGCTATGTAATTTCTACAGTTAAAAAATATACAGTATATAGTTTTCAAAATATAAAAATCAGTTAATGGACTACACCATATGAATAGACTAAGGGATAAAAACTACATGATTATTTAAACAAATGCAGAGAAAGCACTTGACAAAATCTAACACCATTTCATGTTAAAAATACTCAATAAAAGGCAAAAGATATGCCTTACTGTTGAATTGTACAACTGCAGCTTACTGGATTTCGTTAACCAGTGTCAACATAATAAAAATAAAAAATAAAATAGAAAAATAAATACAACAAAGAGCTGGTTCTTAAAAAAATATAAAATATACTAGGAATAGAAGGGAACGTTCTCAACCTGATGAAGTGTATCAATGGAAAACCTGTAGCTAACAATGTATGTAATGGTGAGAGACTGAAAGTTTTCCCCCTAAGATCAGGAGCAGGACAAGGATATCCACTCTTGCCATACCTATTCAGCATTGTACTGGAGGTTGTAGGTAGGGCAGTCAGGCAAGAGTAAGAAATAAAAGTCAGCCTAATTGGAAAGGAAGATGTAAAACTATCTCTATATTTCAAAGACATGGTCTTATATAAGAAAATCCCAGGGACTTCCCCACCCCACCCCACCCCCCACACACAAATCTGTTGCTGCAAAAACAAGTTCAGCAAGGTTTTAGGACACAAGATCAATATACAAATATCAATTGTATTTCTATACACTAGCAATGAACAATCCAAAAATGATATTAAGAAAACAATTCCATTTATAACATCAAAAAGAATAAAATACTTTGGGATAAATTTAACCAAAAAAAGTATACAACTTGTACACTGAAAATTACAGAACATTGTTGAAAGAAATTAAAGAAGGAATAAATAAATGGAAAGATATTCTATGTTCATGGACTGGAATTCTTAATATTGTTAAGATGGCAATACTCTACAAATTGATCTACAGATTCAGTACAATCTGTTAAAATCTCATTTGACTTTTTTGCAGAAATTGACAAAGCGATCCTAAAATTTAAATGAACATGCAAGGGGCTCAGAATATCCAAAACAATCTTGAAAAAGAACAGGTTGGTGGACTCACATGCAAAAAAATGCTTAACATTATTACTCATTAGGAAGATGAAAATCAAAACCACTAAGAGATACCATTTAGTACCCACCAGGATAGCTATAATCAAAAAGACAGACAATGACAGATATAGAGGAGGATTTGGAGAATTTGTGAAATTGGAACTCTCATACATTGCTGATAAGAATGTAAAATGGTACCACCACTTTGGTACAAAAATTGGTTCCTCAAATGGTTAGCAGTTACCATATGATCCAGCAGTACCACTTCTAGGTACATATCTAAGAGAAATGAAAACATGCTCACACAGAAATTTGTATATGCGTGTTTATAGCATCGATATCCATAATAGTCAAAACCTGGAAATACTTCAGGTGTCCATCAAATGAGAGTATATTTTTTAAATGAGGTATATCCATACAGTGGTGGAATATTGTTCAGCCATAAAAAGGAATGACATACTGATCCATGTTACAACATGGATTAACCTTAAGAACAGCTAAGTGAAAGAAGCCAGACTTAAAAAGCTGCATATTACATGATCCCATGAATATGAAATGTCCAGAATAGGCAAATCCACAAAGACAGTGAGTAGATTCATGCTTGCCTAGTACAGGAGGATAGGGAGCGACTGCTAATGTGTATAGCTAGCTATCTATATCTTTGAGTTTTGCATCCACAGATTCAACTAACCATGGATCAAAAATATCTGGGGGGAAAAAAAAAATCTCAAAGTTTCAAAAAGAAAAGCTTGAATTTGCCATGTGTCAAGCACTATGCTGAATTCAAATGCATAGATTGTGTCTCTATTTTTCTGATGTGTTGGCATACCCTTTTATAGCCTATTTGCAAATACTATGCCATTTTATATAAGGGACTTAAGCATTTTCAGGTTTTGGTGTCTTTAGGGGTCTTGGAACCAATTCCTTGTGGATACCGAGGGACAACAGTAACAGTGTAGGATTTCATTTTGGAGTAATGAAAATATTTTGGAACTAGGTAGTGGTGATAGTTTCCTTTTTTATGAATATAGTAAAACCACTGATTAGTACCTGTTAAAATGGTGAATTTTATGGTATGTGAGTTATAGCAATAAAAGGAAAATTAATTATGAAACATGTCTTAAAAGATCATCATTTGGCCACTTTTGGAGGTTGTTATGGCATGAACTCATTCTGCAAGCTGATAAATTTGTGGAAATACTTCTGTACTAACATTTTAATAGGAAAGAAAAATAGCTGATGATGGAAAGCTCTTTTTAAAAATAGTTTTTCTGAAAATTGTACTAACTAATGGTAGAATATCACCATTTTGCTATACCTACTGGAATAGGTAATGATTCATTGGCTGCTAATAAGGGAACTCGATAGTGAATGGATAGGCTGATAATACTGAAACCCATTGATCCATCTTAATATTACTAAAAGACATTATGTGTCTCCTGCCTTCAGCCTACTGAATCAAACAAGGGGTTTTCATAGTAGAGGTGTCTATTCGCTTTGTAAAACAGTCTTCTACAGTTTTGATTAAGACATGCCTCAGCAGGCATCCTTTTTCATCTCCAGGCACTCTTGTTTTAACTTGACAACCTTTGTCAGAAAGTTTGGTGTAGAGCAAAATAGAATTTGTGTTTCTATTTTTTTTTTCTTTTATGTTTTTGTGTCATTCTGGAGAGAAGACAGGGTCCTAGATGTCCAGGTCATCTTAAACCTAGGAGTCTTTGGAAACTAAATCGGTAGGTTAGGTAAGAGATCATCAAGACTTGAGCTAGGGTAGAGGCCAGATGTTGACAGAGTTAACAGGACAGATTGATTTGTAGTTTGGGATGTTAGGTAGGGCACACAGTGGGGGCTTCATTAATGTTTGTCAGCTGTTGAATAGACACAATTGAATTCATCCAATTTCAGAGTTTCATTGCAATTTTTGTGCCAATGTATGCATAGTCCACTTCTAGAATTACCATAAATGAATTGAGTCAGTCTTGGGCTTCTAGAGGAGAGGTTGCAAACTAGTGGCTGATAGGTCAGATCTAGCCTACAACTGTGTTTTATTTGGCCTCCATAGTGTTTTGTTTTGTTTTTTTTTCCCCCTTTAATTTGTTGCCAACATTTCAAAATAGTGAGATTTCACATAAAAATGGGGGCTTCTGGCTTCTCTTGAAAAAGAAGAAAATATGGCAACATTGGGCTTAACATTTTCTCATGGCAACAACTCAGCTGAAGCTGAATAATGACTTCATTAGCCCCAGTCCTCTGCTGCTCCTGTCACTTACTGGTCCTTGCATTGTTTTGAGTTTGTGACCCTTACTGCAGTGGTTTCAGGAAGTTGTTTTCTAAATCTCACATTGTTATTTTAATTACCTTTCTTCTTATATTGCTATTGAAACATAACTTGTGATTGTGACACCTACCTAACATAAGCTGTGTGTTGGCAGTAAGTGTGTATCTCCTGTTTCTGGATATTCTGCATGGTGCTGGTATAGTGCCTTATACACTGTAGGGAAGTTAGTACATATTAGTACATCTCCGCACTGATTTGGCAAGGTAATTGAGGAAGCCCAATATGCCATGGCATTCAAGACATTTTTATGATATAGCAAAGCATGTTGATACATTGGTTTTGAAATAGATATTCTCTATTATCATTTTGAAGAAATGCTTGTTTATTAATGACAGTTCTTTTATTTTTATTAACCAGCTGTCTCACAGTTTTAGGGTTAAAATTACTTTATTAGGTTTCTGGCATTGTGGCATTAATAAACACCGTTTTGGATATTAAATATTATATTGGTTGTATTGATAATGTGGATTCTCTTAGTACTTAAAAATATTCTCTCATAGGTAAATGATTACAGAAAATAAATGGGAAGGGCTGGTCTCTTTACTGGGATATTCATCATCAGAAAGGATGTGGAGAAAATGAATTTTTTTTTTTAAATAACTGATATTTGATGATACAAGTACAAAGAGATAATGAAAATAAATGGTGGTAATATAAGTGTAGGAAAAAGCTATGTTGTCTGCATGTGGTTGGATTGTAAAGCTCAGTTTAAGAGGACATCATTGAGTCAATTACAACAGTGTTTTTGAAAATTGTCTTATTTTATGAACACAAACCTTATTTTCTATTGCCCCACACTAGGCAATTGGGTAAGGATTTAAATGTCTAGTGTGAACGTTGTCAATGTTGGTTTCATGCCATGAATATTTCTTAACCCTTATTATGCATTTATTTTTACATTAGGTGAGAAATTCATCCACACTTCTCTTCAGTACCTTGATCACAAGAATATTTGGAGTTAAAAGGGGAAAGGATGAACTTTTCAAAAAGAATACGTAAGCTTCATCTAATGTTAACTTTACTTTTTACAAAATATTGTCCTGGACAAAAATAGTTTTTAGAATTTTGCTTACTTTTATAGGTTCATCTAGAGCATAAAGCTAGAAAAATACTGTAGTAAATTAACCTATGCTGTCAAATTCTAAGTCCTTAGGCAAAAATATCTACTGTTTAATTAAACATTTCAAAGCAACTAAAATATAGCAAGGTAGCAAGGCCTGCAAAGTAAAGCTTGTTTCTCAGTGCAACATCTAAAAAAATTTTTTTTTCATCTTCTTCGGGTATTCCTAAAATGTCCTAAACTGCTTTTTCTTGATGTGTCATCAAGTACCAGCTTCTGCATTATCTTTGCTTTTATAGCTGGAAGTTTAAACGTTTATGATATAGTCATCAGAACATGTTCCAGATTACCTTTGCATTAAACTCTGTAACCAAGGGAACAGTTACAGATGTTGGCCACACAGAATAAATAATGCTTTTCACTTTTAGGTCTTCAGTGTTATATTTACTAAGATGTTTTTGTCTTAAGGTTTTTTAATGTCTGGAAGGAAACCTATTGAAACATTTTGATTATGGGTAATTTTTAGATACCGTACACAAATTCTGTTTGTTGTTTTTTAAAGAAGAAAAGCTTTGGATACTTGTTTCTTAGCACTTAGGAAGATTTAATGGTAGTCTAATGTCTTGCAGTTGTTAACACTAGATGTCACTGTCGCTGCATGTTTTAATTACTTTCTTCCTTTAGGATCCAGTTTGGCCCAGTGGTCTTTCTCTTGATATGTAGAGATAAATCAGGCCCTATTCCTCTCTTATCTAAAAAAGTTGTTTATCACACTTTTACTTTAGGTTTTAAGCTTTTATTATGTTTATTAAAATACATTTTCTTGTGATGGAACTAAATCTTAGGAATTAGAAAATATCATGAAATAATATTATGATGTACTATTGGTAATTCTAATGAAACCTACTAATACTTTGAAATTGTCATTGAAATTGCTACTTATTGCCCTATAAAATTAAATAAATATTTAAAAGGAAGGCAGCTGGCTTTAAGTATGAATCACCTGAGTATATTCAGGAAATACCAGAGTTTTTTTTTTAATCCAAGTTGTATTTTTAAAATAATGATAATATTATTCCTTTGAAATGATGATTATAATTTTTACTATTTAGCTGGTTCCTAAAGAAATTCTGTCAGTAGTTTGAAATCAATAATATTTGTTTCTCCTTAGCTTTGTTTATTTTGTTAATAATTCTACAAAATGCTAAAAAATTTAAAAGTTTGGTTATGATATAAGGCCATGATCAATAGTGGTATGAATAAAATACTATGTGAGATTATAAAGTAAGTGAACTTAATGTTTAAAATAGAGCTTAAAAATGAAGAAATGCTTTTTTCTCTCTTACTTTTTATAAAGTGAATGATTCTTGGTCGTGTATATAAATTTTACTATGTACAAGAGAAAATTACCAGACTCATTTCATTCAGATTGCATCAGAAGGAGAGTGGAAGAATAATGCAATGAAACCACACTGTTTTAATCTTTTTGCCCAAGGCATGCTGATGGGAACCTCTGTTATAAATTCATTACTCTTAAATAGGAAAGGTTATAAAATATATAACTTTCCTAGAAAGAGGGAAATGGAATATTCATATAATGATTTTGAGTAAAGTTCAAAAATGAAAAGAAAGAATTAAGAAGTTAATTGTTTTTTTTTTTTAATGTGATGAACATTTTTGATTAGAGCCTTTAGTTCAATAATCTAAAGATTGGTATATATCATTATGTATACAGGCTTCTGTTCTCTGTTTAACCCTTAAAGAGTATATTTCTTGGCAGTACCCACTAGATTTGCTCTGCAAAACCTTCAGTGTCTTAAATTTGTTATTATTTGTAATGGTTCTTCTAGTTGTAGTTTGTTTAATTATGTCACTTTTTGCTGAAATGTTTATATGCCTGTTCCCTACAGTATTAACTCCCTAAGGGCAGAACCTTTTCCATCTATCCTGTGTATATATAATAGGCACTTTAAAAATGCTAGTAATAATGATGTCCTGTTGGTTGGTTACTCAACCATCGAGTAAACTCAGCTGATGAGACCTCACAGACAGTTAAGACTACTTTCACAGCCACAGATTGTTTTGCAAATGTGTGCTCTTGGTCAGAAAGGAACTGAACATAAAAAGAACATCTGCCTTTCCTATCTAGTAGAAAAAAAATGTCTAGGAGTAAACAGACTTAGTTTCTAGGCATTTTGTTGCCACTAGAGATGACCTTAATAGACTCCTTTATCCGCTTTATACTTGTTTCTCCATCTATATTACAGGAAAAAAATAAGATCTGTGCTCTGTACTCACAGGGCTATGGTGAGGATAAAACAAACTATTAACAGTTCATTTATAACATATATTGGAAGTTCCATGCAATTAGAGATAGAATTTGCTTTTTCTCTGTTACCACTTCTATTATTATACTCATTTAATTGTCTTATAGTTACACTGCTTTTTGAGGAGAGGGTCAGTATTCATTTTTGTATACCTGTGCCTAGCATAGTTTCTGGCATATAATAGGTACATAGAAATACTTGCTTAATGAATAAGTAAATTTTGTTGCTACAGGAGAGATAAGAATTCTTGTTTCTACTCCTGCCTTTGTTGCCATATAGCCACAATAACCAACTGAGACAAGTTAGTTTACTTCTCTGGGCCTTGCTTTTTCCTCTAAGAAATTTGGACTATTCTTGGCGTCTCTTATTTTTGTAAAATACTAAGCTAAGGTTTTACATAATTGTTACTAGACTTTTGAGTTTGGTAAGCTGCTGTTTTCTTAGAGCCTAGAATAATACCTGCCTCGTAGTAAGGACAGAAAATTCCCTTTTTATACATAATGAAAGAAGCAGAGGTTCTACATCCTCATCTATAAGTATGTAGAGTACAGTCATGATTGAACTTGAGCTCATTAATCTTGTTTTTTAAATAATTTTTAATTTTTTAATTAGTCGGCATACAATGTTATATTAGTTTCAGGTGTACAACATAGTGATTAGACATTTATATAACTTACAAAGTGGTCACCCCGATAAATCTAGTACTCATCTGACACCATACATAGTTATTACAATATTATCGACTATATTCTCTATGCTATAGTTTATACCCCCATGACTATTTTGCAACTATCAATTGGTACTTCTTAATCCCGTCCCCTTATGTAACCCCCAACCCCCTCCCATCTGGCAACCATCAAAATGTTCTCTGTATCTATGAGTTTGTTTCTGTTTTGTTTATTTCATTCTTTAGATTTCACATGTAAGCGAAATCATATGGCATTTGTCTTTCTCTCTCTGACTTAATCCACTCAACACAATACCCTTCAAGTCTATCCATGTTGTTGCAGGTGGCAAGATTTCAGTTTTTTTTTATGGCTGAGTAATATTCAATTGTATATATGCACCACCTCTTTTTTATCCATTCATACATTGATGGACACCAAGGTTGCCTCCGTATCTTGACTATATTGTAAATTATGCTGTAATGAACATATGGATGCACATGTTGCTTCAAAGTAGTATTTTGGGTTTCTTTGGATAAACGCCCAGAAGAGGGATTACTGGTTTTTCTTTGTCTCTTGTTATAGCCTTTCTTTGTCTCTTGTTATAGCCTTTATTTAGCTTTTTTGTTTGTTTGTTTGTTTCTATATTCACGAAATATTTTTTACATCTCTTTACTTTCAGCATATGTGTGTCTTTCAATCTGAAGTAAGTCTCTTATAGATAGCATAAGTAACGGTCTTGTTTTCATATCCATTCAGCTACCCTATTTGTTGATTGGAGCATATAATTCATTTACATCTAAAGTAATTGTTGATAGGTATGTAGTTATTGCTGTCTTATTATTCATATTTTTTATCTTTTTTCTCTTTCCTTCTTCTTCTTAAGAAAGTTCCTCTAACATTTCTTGTAATACTGGTTTAGTGGTAATGAATGCCTTTAGCTTTTTCTTGTCTGAGCAGCTCTTTATCTATCCTTTGATTCTGAATGATAGCTTTGCTAGGTAGAATAATCTTGGTTATAGGTCTTTGCTTTTCATCACTTTGTATATTTCATGCCAATCCCTTGTGGCCTGCAAAATTTCTTTTTAGAAATCAGCTGACAGTCTTATGAGTGCCCCTTGTAGGTAACTAACTGCTTTTCTCTTGCTGCTTTTAAGATTCTCTCTTTGTCTTTAATCTTTGGCATTTCATTATGATGTATCTTGGTTTAGGCCTCTTTGAGTTCATTTTATTTGTGACTCTCTGTGCTTCCTGGGCTTGTACATCTATTTCCCTCCCAAGGTTAGGGAAGTTTTCTATCATTATTCCTCAAATAGGTTTTCAATTCCTTGCTCTCTCTCTTCTCCTTCTGGTACCCCTATGATACACTTAATGTATTCTCATTATTTTTGGATTCTTTTTTCTCATTGCTGTTCTGATTGGGTATTTTCTGCTACCTTATCTTCTAAATCACTGATTCAGTTCTCTGCTTCATCTAATGTACTGTTGATTCCTCCTAAAGTATTTTTCATTTCAGTTATTGTATTTTTTTCATTTCTGACTCATTCTTTTTTATGTTCTCTATTTCTCTGTTTTATATTTCTTTGTTAAAGTTCTCACTGAGTTCATCTATTCTTCCCCTAAGTTCATTAAGTGTCCTTATAACCAGTGTTTTGAACTCTGCATCTGGTAGATTGCTTGTCTCCATTTTGTTTAGTTCTTTTTCTGGAGCTTTGTTCTCTTTTTTCATGTGGGACATATTTCTTTGTCTCCTCATTTTGTCTGCCTCCCGGTGTTTGTTTCTGTATTTTAAGTAGGGCTGCTGTGTCTCCTGGTCTTAGTAGCATGGCCTTATGTAGTAGGTGTCCTGTGGGGCCCAGTGGCACAGTCCCCCAGGTCACCTGATCCAGGTGCTCCAGGCATGTCCCTTGTATGGGTTGTGTGTGCCCTTCTGTTGTAGTTGA